GAGGGTGGTCGGTCGGAGTCAGAGACTACACAGCAGCAGCTGCCGTAGGGGCTGGCGGGCCCTGGGAGTGGTGGTCGTGGTTGAGGCCGTGGAGGTTGGACCCCAGGGCAGTCGGTGCTTTGGGGGTCGCGTGGCTCTTCTGTCGGCCAGTATGCTGGTGGTTCTGGAGGCGCGGTGACCTATAGGCACCAGCTCCTGACCGGTCCGCAGGCGGGGTTTGCGGGCGCTCGGGGCACACCGCTGCTCGCTGCTACCGCCGCCTGGACGACCTCTACCGTCGTCATTTCGGCCCGCTGGCGCAGGTACCTGACTGGCCTGCCTTGTTTAGTCGAGGGTTCATATCTTTGATATGGATATGATTCAGATGGATCATGCCTTGTATTCCTTCTATGCTGATGACTCTAGTGCTGCTGGTTCTTATTTACCTAATGTTTGTAGCCTAGGAGCTACTTCTGTTTGTAGTCTAGGAGAGAAAGTATACAATAACATTAAGTTTCAAAGGATTTTGTATCAAAATTGAAGAAGTGAAAATAATGTTAGAGAGAGGGTACACACAGATATACCTAAGTATTGTACCCTCTAAGAGGCTACCCTATACAGTCTATACAAAGATGACAAATACACATGTTTGACACACCCCCTAGACTGCATAGGGGAATGTCCTAAACTAGCAGCTCAGGGCGGCACTACTAGTCCAACCTCTGAGACAAGGGTCTGAGAGACCAGTCAGAAGGAGTACAGACAAGGCAAGAACAAGAGCAGGGCGGCACTACTAGTCCAGCCACTAAGAGAGGACACAAGTCCAGTCTGAGTATACGTATAAAGGACAGTACAAAGTCAAGGTCCTAGCAAGTGAGAGGCTACAGGAACTAGACCACGCTGTACACAGTGCCGCTGATGATCTTTAGGCGCAAGCGCCTTCGTAAAGATATCAGCCGTGTTGGCACCTGAGGCCAAGTGTACTACGCGAGCCTGACGTCGCTGCTGTAGCTCACGCAGGAGGAAGTACCGCAGTTGAATGTGCTTCGCTCTGCCCTCGAGTCGAGGCTCCTTACACAGGAGGATCATGGCCCGGTTGTCAGCGAACAGGACTGGGGCAGAGCTAGGCCGCTCACCTAAGTCAGTGAGCAAGAAGGTCAGCCAGCGGAGCTCCTGTGCCGCCATGGCACCAGCGTAGATCTCAGCCTCACAGCTGGACTGCGCCACAGACGAGGAGCGAGTAGCTCTCCACGAGACGGCACCTGAGCCAAGGCTGAAGCAGTAGCCCTGGGTAGACCTGAGTGTCTCAGCGTCGTCTGCCCACGAAGCGTCTGTGTGTCCAGTAAGGACCACTGGCCTGCGTCCTCCTAGCACTAACCCCATGCCCGATGTACTAGCAAGATAACGCAGAACCCTCTTAGCGGCAGACCAGTGCTGCGGTCGGTGTCTGCCTGTGGCCACAAAACGAGCCAGGATGCTGAGAGGGTATGCGAGATCTGGGCGAGTGCAAGTCATCAGGTACATGAGGCAACCCACCAGCTCTGCGTAGGGGCCGCTGGGCTCTACCAACTCCTCAGACACTGGAGCGGAGAGCCTGTGGTCTACAGGCAGAGGGGTGGGCTGTGCAGAGGAGAACTGAAGGCGGAACCTCTGAAGGACCTGGCGCACCAAGTGTGACTGAGTCAGGGTGATGGTGCGCGCAGCTCTGTCCCTGGAGATCTGCAAGCCAAGGTAACGGCGCAGTTCTCCAAGGTCAGTGCAGGTGTGTCTCTTCAGCAGCTCTGCCTTCACGGAGGCCAGTGCGTCCCTGTCTGCTATGGCAAAGACCAGGTCGTCGACGTAAACAAGGATGTAGAACGGAGTCTGGCCAGCACGAACGAAGAGGGAAGGGTCTGCGGAAGACGGAAAGAACTGCAGGTCAGCAAGCGTAGCACGCAGAGTGTCGTGCCACTCACGGGGAGCCTGGCGCAGGCCGTAGACGGGGCGCCGCAGGAGCCACTGGGTCCCAGGAGGGAAGGTGCCAGTAAAGCCCGGAGGGCGACGTAGGTAGACCTGCTCGTGTAGGCTGCCCTGAAGGAAGGCAGTGGAGAAGTCGAGGGAGTGAAGCTCGTAGTCACGCTGAGCAGCTAGGTGTAACAGAACCCGAAGAGTAGTCATCTTCGGGGTCGAAGCAAAGGTCTGGAAGAAGTCCACCCCCTCGCGCTGACTGAAGCCTCTAGCCACGTAGCGCGCCTTGAACACAGGCGGCTCTCCAGGAGGGCGCTTCACCTTGAAGAGCCAGCGGCCATCGACTACGTTCACCCCAGGCGGGGGAACTGCGTCGACGAAGGTGCCGGTGGATCTCCAAGATGCCATCTCCTGCTCCATGGCAGCTATCCACTGCGAGGCCCAGGGTCTCGAGGTCGCCTCAGCGTAAGTGCGAGGGGTCGGGATGTCAAAAGCGTCTGGGTCACCCTCAGGGACTAGCAGCATGGAACAGAGATGGGGAGCAGCCTCGGATAGGAAAGCAAGCTCGAACTGGCGGTCCTCCAGGACGTCACTGGCAAGGGCAGGAGCACCCCCGACAGACGGAGGACAGGCAGGGTCAGAGACCAGAGCGGAGGCGTAGTCAAGGCGGCGGGAAGAGGATTCAGTCAGCGCGAGGGGGTGGACTTCTTCCAGACCTTCGCTCCGACCCCGAAGATGACTACTCTTTGGGTTCTGTTACACCTAGCTGCTGAGCGTGACTACGAGCTTCACTCCCTGCGTCTTCCTCGGTTTTCCCCTTGACGCGTCCGACTGGCACTTTTACCACCCGCCGTCTCACCGCTTCTTTCACTCTCGTGACGTCACCTTTGACGAGTCCGTCTCCTACTACCGTCGCTTCCCCCACCGTGGTCCCCCGGTTACTCCCCCCCTGTTCCTGGTCCCTCCTTGCCCGGTAGTCCCTACCCCTCCTCCTCCTCCTCCCCGTCCCGCCCCCTCTGGTGTGTCCCACGTCACCCCCCTTCCGTCGGTGGACCCGGTTGAGGAGTCTTCTGACTCTGGTGGCCCTCCTGTGCAGTCCTCGTCCGCCGCCCCTCCCCTGGCGTCCCCTCCCCAGTCCCCTCCTCCCCCGCTTCTGCCGCCGCTGCAGTCGTCGTTGCCGCCGCCGCCGCCGCTGCCGTCGCAGCACCCGTTCGCTGACTCTGGGGGTGCTCGTCCCGGTAGCCCTGGGGGTGGTCCCTCTGGGGGTGCTGGTGTGGAGAGTGTCGGGGGTAGCCGAGGAGCAGCTAGCGGTCCCGGTGTCGCCGTTGTGCCGCCGCAGCAGCAGTCCCCGCCGGTGTCAGCCCTTCGCCTGCTCGGCCTGCCGTCCCCCGACCCTGCGTCGGTTCCTCCCCGACCGTCTCCTCCTCTTCCTTTCTACGGCCCTGTTTTCCCTCCGCCGGACTCGTCCCCGGCTCGTCTCCCCTCTCGTTCCCCTCCTGTGTCCCCTCCTCCGTCTCCTGACCCGACTCCTCCGTCGCACGTCTGGTCTCACCGTCCCTCCCGTGCTCGTCCTGCCTCGCCTGTCCTGCGCTCCCACCCTATGTTGCTTCGTTCCCACGTGTCTCGTCCTCCCCTTCTGCCGTCGCCTCCTCCTTCCTCCCTTGTTGTTGTACCCCCCCCGCTGTCTGACTACCTTCGTGCCGCCCGTCCTCTTGTTCCTCGCGTCCTTGCCTCTCTCGTTACCGACCCGTCTGTTCCGGACTTCTTCCAGACCTTCGCTCCGACCCCGAAGATGACTACTTTTCGGGTTCTGTTACACCTAGCTGCTCAGCGTGACTACGAGCTTCACTCCCTCGACTTCTCCGCTGCCTTCCTTCAGGGCAGCCTACACGAGCAGGTCTACCTACGTCGCCCTCCGGGCTTTACTGGCACCTTCCCTCCTGGGACCCAGAAGGGGCGCGACGGGGCCTGGGAGGGGCGCGACGGGGCCCAGTAGGGGCGCTTCGAAGCCCAGGAGGGGCGCGACGAGGCCCAGGAGGGGCGTTACGAGGCCTAGGAGGAGCGCGACGGGGCCCAGGAGGGGCGCTACGGGGCCCAGGAGGGGCGCGACGGGGCCGGGGAGGGGCGCGACGGGGCCCAGGAAGGGGCGCTACGGGGCCCAGGGAGGGGCGCGACGGGTCCCAGGAAGGGGCGCGACGGGGCTAGAGGGGGTCACGACGGGGCTAGGGGGGCGAGCGGAAGCGGTAGGTGGGGGGGGGATCCTACCTACGCGTGATACCATATCAAAATTGAAGAAGTGAAAATAATGTTAGAGAGAGGGTACACACAGATATACCTAAGTGTTGTACCCTCTAAGAGGCTACCCTATACAGTCTATACAAACATGACAAATACACATGTTTGACATTTTGAACCTTCAGAGTGGCGAACCCATGCCGCGTCCACACCAACCCTATCGGCCCTTGAGAGGAAGAAACTTGGCTGGCGCAAATAGGTGATTGGCCGAGCGACAACCAAGCGACGCAGGTCATCTTCCTGCAGCAAAACAACCCTCCAACCCACCAAGATGCAAAGGTTATAGAAATCTGCCATAAGTGTTGTAAATTTGAGAATTGACTTGCGGGTTGAAAACCTGGTGTTGTTATCAGAAAATAATTTCTTGTGTAGAAAATGGTGGTAACAAGTTTCGGCGTAATCGCCTGCGTCAGACCACGAGGAAGAAATGAGACTTCGAGGTTTATATACACTTCGGGAGGATCTCGCTCACCCATTGGGCTTGCGATGAACCAAGTCTCGCAAAATGAAATAGCTACACTATGCCACACCTAACATTTACGAACAGAAACTTAATAGCCTCCAACTCTTTTCGGCAAAGTCCATGCCAGAATCTCCCTCCTCCGTGTGAAAACATCGCGTGACATTATATCCAGGCATGTTCTGCGTAGACTCAAAACACACTGGGGCCGCGGTCGTACAGTACTGAATCACTCTATACACCCCCTGAAGCACCTCTTCCCAGTAGGTTCTCTTTTCAAGTCCTCCAATCCAACCAACGCTCTCCTCAAGGCGGTTCAGATTTTGCTCACTCTGTGCGACGCAATTTCATTGGCATCATGGTCGGTGCCGTCCAGGGGTCCGCAGTGCGGTAAATTTCCTCCAATCCGCGCATCTAGGAGCTGGTCGTCCCCAAGACTCGCAGTCCCGGCAAAATTGCGCTGCACACGACCCTCCAATCGTCAACCATCCGTCCCTTTCGAGGGTGGACAAGCGTCTCTTTCCGCGTCTCGATCGCCAGCCCGTTGCCACTTCTCCTCTCGCCTTTCATCGCGTGGCATCGCGTGCTGCCACGTGTCAGCGCGCGCGATGGAGCCGCTGAAGCAGAAGGGCAACGAGGCGTTCAAGAAGGGGCAGTTCTCCGCAGCGGCGCTGGCCTACAAGCGCGCGCTGGAAGCCGCGGCGGAGAGCGGCGAGGCGCCGCGCGAGACGGCGTCGGTGCACAGCAACCTGTCGTGCTCGCTGCTCAAGCTCGGGCACAAGGAGGAGGTCGGGGGCGGGGGGGTGTTGGGGGGGAAGAGGGAGGGGGGGCGGGGAGGAGGAGGGGTGGCAACGGGCTTGTGATCGAGAGGTTAGGTGGGGGCGGAAGGAGCGAGTGAGCGGGGCAGGCGCGAGAGTGCGAACCTCCCAGCGACAGTGTGATTGGACGACGCGGTTGCGCAGCAGCCTGGTCGCGTGGTGCCAGGATTGGAGGCTGGGAGCAAGGCCCGCGCCGGGGGGGTCTCCCATGGCCGCGTTCACCCTCCCCGCCCCCCGGTTCCCCTGGCACTGCCACAGGCTAAGACGGCCACCACGCAGATGAAAAGGCTCTCCCCGCGCATTCCCCTTCCCCACGCTCCCTCCTCCTCCCATCCCCTCTGCATTTTCCCTCCACTGTCGCTGCCGCTCGCCTGCGCTTCCCCTCCTCCAACCCCCCTCTTGCGCCCCTCGCCCGCCTTCCCCAATGTGGGCGGATACGAGGCACAGCAGCGCGCCGAGCTGTGCCCAGAAAGAGTCCAGCCCCTTCCCCATCTTCCCTCTCCGCCCCCCACCTCTCTGCTCCCCCGCGTCTCCCCTTTTCTTCCGCCCCCCCACCCCCTGTTGTCGTGCCCCGCAGGCCCTGGAGGCGGCGCAGCAGCGCACAGAGCTGCGACCAAAACTCAGAAGCCCCTTCCCCATCTCCCGCACCTCCCCTCCCCCCCTCACCTGTGCTGCCTTGCCTGTCAGGCCCTGGAGGCGGCGCAGCAGTGCACGGAGCTGCGGGCCGAGTGGAACAAGGTGGGCGCCATGGGGGGTGCAAGGGCCACTGGGGGAGGCTGGGCCATGGGGGGGGGGGGTTTCGGGCCATGGGGGGGGATTCGGGCCATGGGGGGGGGTTCGGGCCATGGGGGGGGATTCGGGCCATGGGGGGGGGTTCGGGCCATGGGGGGGTTTTCGGGCCATGGGGGGGTTTTCGGGCCATGGGGGGGGTTTCGGGCCATGGGGGGGGGTTCGGGCCATGGGGGGGGTTTCGGGCCATGGCCCATGGGTGGGGGATAGTCAAGGATTTGGGGGCGGGCAGGCAATGTGGGTTGGGCACTGGGTGACGGGCACTGGGTGACGGGCACTGGATGACGGGGCCAAATGGGTTGGGGGGGAGAGGGTTTGACGCGAGCTCGAGCATGGGGAGGAGAGGAAGGCACACACTTTAGTGCTGATTTCCCTCAACATGTGTGAGATGAGAATCATGATGTGTTCCTCTTCTTCTTTTCCGCCTTGTGCTGCTTGCTCTCACTTTTGCTGCTGGCTTGCTGCTTTCTCTCCCTTTGCCTGATAGCGCTCCCTTGTGCCGCTTGCCCTCCTTTTGCTGCTTCCTTTTGGTGCTTCCTTTTGCTGCTTCCTTTTGCTGCTTGCTTGTGCTGCTTGCTTTTGCTGCTTCCTTTTGCTGCTTGCTTGTGCTGCTTGCTCTCACTTCTGATATGCGTGCCCATGCTTCTGTTTCCTGGTAACGCCCATCACAGGGTTGGTTCCGAAAGGGCGAGGCGCTGTTTGCCTTGCAGCGGTACGACGAGGCGGAGGAGGCGTACCGACAGGCACTGGAACTGGTGAGGTGAAACCTTGTGATGAAACTCAATGGCAAACTGTAACAGTGGCATGAGACCACGAGACGCAACGATGGGCTGGCTGGGATGAAGGTTGTTGGTGACACTGCATCACACAAAACGTTTTGACTCGGCTCAAAACGAAACTCATATCACACGTGATTCTGGGCTGGCAGGAGACCGCATTGCACTAAATGTGCTTCGATTGTATAGAGAGGAGATGATAGACGGAGCTTTGGTCGAGGCACATGCTCGATCCCATTCATTAGACTCAGTTTTTTTCTGAACTAGAAGGAGCTTCAATTCAATGTAGTAGTCGCGTCCCCCCCCCCCCCCCTCCCAATTGCCATCGGCATGCACTTGCTACCGCCATCATGTGTCAGGCCGTTCAGATGCTGCTTCGTCGCCACCAGTGCGCTCCCCAGGCAATAGGCTTGCAACAGCTGCAGCAGACTGATCCCAGGGGTTCCTCACTTCGTTTGAATCTCCCTTCTCGCCGTCCTTCACACCCCCGTCCACTCCACACGCCCCACCATCACCCTGCCCCCCTCAGGCCCCTGACGACGGCACCGTGAAGCAGTCCTGCTGCTGGCGGCGCTGGCTGGCTGGCAGCAGAGCGTCTGAGCCGAGCAACAGTCTCCTCCATCCCTTCTCGCCCGCCCTCACTCCCCCTCCTCCATGCATGCCTCCGTCACCGCCCCCCTCAGGCGCCTGACGACGCCACAGTGAAGCAGTGTCTGCTGCTGGCTCTGGAGGCACAACAGGGCTTCCTGCTGCGCCAGGTGAGCGAGGTGCATGCCTGCCGCGACATGCCACTTTCCATCCGTACGCACGCTATGTACACAGTACACATGCCGCTTACCATCCATCCACAACCTTGCTCCATCCCTGTGCCAGGTAATGTAGTGGTAGTGTACCGGTTGCGTATTCGGTGCATGTTCATGATTCTCTCATGCAGGGAGGAAAGGTAAGATGCGAGTTTTATGCATGCCTCGATTATGCCGGCCTTCCGCTCATCCTGTCGCTTCAGTTCCTGCTCCTCCTTCTGCCAGCTATCCCCGTGATGCTGCCACACGCTCTTTCGCGTCCATCTCACTTACCTCTCGCCCATCTGCCGCTCACGTCGCTCACCGTCCCCTCTCTGTTTCTCCCTGCTCTCCGCCTCCCTCCCCACCCACTCTGTGTTCTCAATCCGTGCCCTACCACCCGACCGCACACTCCCCTCCCGCACGTGGCAGCTATTCGCAGGGCGAGAGTTCTGTGTGGGGCGAGGCCGCTCCGTGATAGAGGCTCAGGTGGGATCTCCTTGCGCCCCCTCTTCTTGTTTGTGACACACGGGCTAATGGCGAAGCCAGGGCCATGATAAATCAATCAAGGGTACAATAATGCGTGGAGGAGGGAAAAGGTAAAAGGCTACGTAAGTGCATGCTTTGCGTGAAGCAGTGAAGAGTTATTAAACATATCATTCTAGAACACTCCTCACTGCAGCAAGGAAGAAGCGCTGCACGTCACGTGTGGGAATGCAGAGTGGCGTCTTACATGAGCGCCGGCGACTACATGGCTATGTTGGAAAAAACGCAAATTTCAGTTTGCGTTTTGCGTTTATACGCGAGCAAAATTCGTACGCTGCGTTTTGGGTGTAGATTCGCCAAAATACGCACGGGCTGACCGCAAAAAAAAACCAAAATTTCCGCGACAGTTCGCGACGGGGCGAAACTATTCGGGGGTTTCGCACATCGCGAAATCAACATCAAATTTCGAATTTCAAAGCCGAGGCGCACCAAACCCCCTATCACACCGCTAACCACCCCACTCCACCTCGTCATTCCCACACCTCTCCCAACCCAATGTCCAACTCCCTTTTCCCCAAACAGAGTACGCTTTCCAAGCATAAAGAGCAGCCATTCTAGCATTTCGAACTCATTCTCTTCTCTAGCTTCCCCTTCCGTCTCCAGCATGGCCTCCACGCCTAGACCCACTCCGTCTTCCCCTTCAGCTGCGGCAGCCCCTGTTTCCGCGGAGGCTTCTAGTAGCAGCACACTCTTTTGCCCCGACAGCACGCATGTCGTGTTCCGCCACTTCAACGTCCCAATCGACGACTCAAGCGATAGCGCGACGAAGATCTGCAAGTATTGTGAGTTCAAGTTCGTCGGCGGCATGTACCGCTGCGCTCAACACATCACCAGCTGGTTCGGCATGAGACGTCGCGAAGTGTGGCTCTGCCCCTCGGCTCCCAAGTCTGCCCGTGACGCCGTGAAGACTTCGTACAATTCGAAGCTGCAGGCGCGCGAACGAAAGCGCGCGGCGGAGGCAGCCGCACTCGGTGCGGTGAGCGGCGCTGCTCGCGATGGCGAAGGGAAGAGGTCCCGCATCACCGACTTCTTCGGCGACGAAGGGACATTTGCGAAGGAGGCGGCAGACGAAGCGCTTTGCCTGCTCTTCGCCGGCCTTCGACTTCCCGAGCATCACGCAGACCACCCTCTTTGGAGGAACGCCGTCAGCTGCATCGGTCGCGCGGGCGCGACGTACGTTCCTCCGAAGCGCCGTTACATCGGAGGGGCGGGCTTGCAGAAGTGCCGCAAGCGCATCGCGGCGGCCTTGGCGCCGATTGCCGCGAGCTGGCGCCGCGACGGGGTCACCATCGCGTCGGACATGATGACCGACGGCTGCGGACGCCCCCAAGCGAACATTCTGCTCATCAACGACTCGGGAGCTGTTTTCACCGAGTCGATTGACACGAGAATGGAGTCGAAGACGGGCGGCTACATCGCGAGCCTCCTCCGCCCGATCCTGAGGAGGGTCGGGCCCGACAACGTCGTGGCCCTTTGCATGGATGGCGGCTCAAACTATGCCGTGGCATGCCGGGAGCTCGTGGCGGAATTCCCGCACATCGAGACCGTCCCCTGCGCCACCCACGTTCTCGACCTTCTCATGGAAGATGTCGGGAAGATGACGTGGGCGAAGGACGTGGTGGACTCGGCGTCTGACATGATCAACTTCGTCTGCGCCCACCACTTCACCCGCAGCTACCTGAGGAGCAAACACGTCAACAGCGGCAAGGGGCGGTAGGTCCTCAAGCCAGCGGGCACGCGGTTCGGGACACAATTCATCGCTGTGTCCCGACTGTGCGACGTTCGGCTCAGCCTTGTTCAGATGGTCCTGAGCGAGGAGTGGAGAGGGTGGGCGGTGGGGGGGAGGAAGGTGGGTGGTGAGATGTTCAAGGCACAAGTGATGGACGCCTTGTGGTGGCAGCTGGCGGAGTTTTTCATCAAGCTGCTGGAGAAACCCTTCATCGTCATGCGAGCCACCGATGCCACGGCAAAGGGCATGATGGGCCGCATGTACGACACCATGCTCCAGCTCACCGAGGACGTCTCGGATTTCCTCGACGAGCATGCGGAGGGGAGGCTCACAAGGGGAGAGGTGGCGGAGGTGAATAAAATTGTGAAAAATCGATGGGATGGGTGGCTCGCCTGCCCCATGCACGTGGTTGGCCGGATCCTAAATCCGGCCAACCAAGAGGAGGGCATTTTCCGCACCGACATCGAGTGCACCCGCGTCTTCAAGTCGTACATCTCCCGCCACTACGACCACCTCACCATCACCCCCAGGGATGGCGAGGAGCGCCGTGCCTCCCTTGTGCTTCAGGAAGCCTAACGGCCTTCCTGAACCTGCAAGGGAGCTTCGGCCTCCCTGCTGCCATTGCGGACCGCGAGGCTGTGAAGGAGGGGAGGCAGAGTGTCGTGGAGTGGTGGAACTGGCACGGCACGGACTTTCCCGAGCTCGCCACGCTTGCGTGCCGCGTCCTCACACAGCCCGTGTCGGCGGCAGCAAGCGAGCGCAACTGGGCCGTGTGGGAGTCGGTCCACACGGCCAAGCGCAACTGCTTGGGGTCGGAGAAGCTCAACGATCTCGTGTACGTTGCGCACAACTGGAAAGTTGTGCACAACTGGCACTCGGTCGCGGAGGGGCAGGGGGTGGTCAGCGGGAATATTGAGGAGCCCCCCATTCCGGAGGGGTACATCGAGCAGGAGGAGGGGGACGAAGAGGAGGGGGAGGATGCTGTGCTTGCCGATGAGTACGAGTAGAGCTGACTGACCTGCGGGAGGAGGAGGTGGGGAATGGGGTGGAGTAGTGGAGGGGGACTGCAAAGGGGGGGGGGGGGGAGTAGTGGAAGGGGGCTGCAGGGGGAGGTGTTGTGGAAGGGGGGTGCATAGGAGGTTAGAGTATTGGGGAGGGTAGTAGTAATATGCGGGTATTATGATGTACGAAATTTGCCTATCAATAAAATGGGGATGGGGATTTGGGGTGCTTTGTAACCCCCCCATTCCCGCCTCTTACCCCAAATTTCCACCTGCCCGGGAAAGTTTTTTTTGCTGCCCGGGCCACCGTTTTTCCTGCGTACCAGACCCCCTTACCCATAGCGTTTTGCGTATATATGCTAGCGTATATACGCTAGCGTACTAAACGCGAAACGCGTTTTTTCCAACATAGCTACATGGGCGTTCCGTGCATCGAAGGACCATGTGTTGCAGCATGTGCAGAGAGGTTCCTTTGATGCCAAATTGTGGGGCGAGGTAGGTGTGGACAGGATAATGATGCAAAGATATCTCACATTCCTTCCTCCTCACCCCCCAACCCCCCCACTCTCCTCCCCCCCAACCCTTCCTGCCCCCGGCTTCAAACAGTGCAGAGTTTCCGTAGCAAGCAACAGATACTTCCAAACGACACCTCTGCCCTTCTTTTGAATGTCTTGCCCCACCCCCCTCACTGCTCCGATGGCTGCGTGCAGATATTCCGCAGTGCGCAGCAGATGCGCAACTTCATCTATTTCATCGGCGATGCCAAGTCCAGGGAGGCGCTTGTGGTGGACGGCGCGTGGGACGTGGAGGTGAGGCGCGCATGGGATGTGGAGGTGAGGTGCTCATAACGAATAGAATGGGGTTGGACGTACTCTATTGTAACATGCTGATGCGTTATCATCAACTGTCATGGGTGGTCATGGGTGGTCATGGGTGGTCATGGGCACGGGTGCGCGTGAACATGGATCGGTGCCGATGGCTGCAGCGCGAGTATGGGTGGCTGGTGATAATGATGGTGATGGCGTAGGTGGTGGCCATGGTTGCTGATTGCCGTGGTGTGGTGATGCTGATTGCCATGGTGTGGTGATGCTGATTGCCGTGGTGTGGTGATGCTGATTGCCGTGGTGTGGTGATGCTGATTGCCATGGTGTGGTGATGCTGATTGCCGTGGTGTGGTGATGCTGATTGCCATGGTGTGGTGATGCTGATTGCCATGGTGTGGTGATGCTGATTGCCGTGGTGTGGTGATGCTGATTGCCGTGGTGTGGTGATGCTGATTGCCATGGTGTGGTGATGCTGATTGCCGTGGTGTGGTGATGCTGATTGCCATGGTGTGGTGATGCTGATTGCCATGGTGTGGTGATGCTGATTGCCATGGTGTGGTGATGCTGATTCCGGTGGTGACGGCGATGGTGATGGTGGTGATGGTGGTGATGGTGGCGCTGTTGTTCTTATGGATGCTATAACTGGTGCATCTCTTGCTTAATTGGAAGTCATGGTGGATATGAATACCTTCCAGAGTGAAACTGCTGCACGGGCATGCCATTTGTTAGTGGTATGCATTTTCTTGGGGTTTGCTGCTAGTGTCAGGCTTTGATTAGTAGCGCATGTCCTTTCTCTTTTGTCTGTCAGTGCTATGCCCTCTTCTGACACAGCGGCCTCTCATCCTTCCCTATCTCCCCCTCTGTGCATGGCGTACTGCCATCTCATCTCGCAGGGTATTTTACGATACGCAGAGACTGAGAGAGTGAAGCTGGTGAGCGGTTCAGCCTGTGAGATGACATAATGCTTGTTTCATGCAATCTTGTTGCATTTTTGTGACATTTCTTCCTCGAAATATGTTTTCCCGCCTGTCCAACTACCACAAGGGGGAAGCTGCTGCAGCTCGAGATTGCCTTGCAACAGGGCAAAGGGCACACCCTTTCATTGTTCTGCATGCTACATTTGGTGCTCTGTATCTGTTTCTTGTTCAACCATCCACCGGCACTCCTTTGGTGCCGCCTTAACCATTTTGACTACACAGGCGGCATATCGTTACCCGTCATCCGTACGTGTACCATTTTTCACTCTATCGCATCTAATGTCACACCTTGGTCTCTCTGGCTCTCCCCGTCTCCCCTCAGGTGGGTGCCGTGGTGACGCACTACCACTTTGACCACACGGGCGGCATGCCTCCTCCTCCGTTTGACTCGCTGGGCATCAAGGTGCCGGGGATCAAGGAGCTCGCCACAAATCACAACCTCAAGGTTTGTTGTAAGCGACGTGGAGTGCTTCAAGTGGGAAATCTCGCGTTCGAACATATATTTAAGGTTTGTTTTCAGGTTATTCGAAGGTTTTAAAGTGGATGAACTTGCTACCACGACAACCTCAAGGTTCCGTCAAGTGACGGTGGCTGGAGGTGTGCTTTTTAAGGGCCGCTTGTCTCATCCTGCCAGCCACGTAAGGTTTGCTGGGCTGTTTATTATCCCACCCTTACGAGTTGCAACGGTTTTGAAGACTGGGTTTTCGAAGAATGAATACCTTTGTTGCTACAGTAGGCGAGGAGGAAACGCAGCTGAACAAAACGTCACAATGTAGCATACACACTTTGTGGTTGTGGCTCAAGTGGCATAATTGGTCAGACCACATGTTCCATGCCATGTGTATGGCGTGAGTGGTTCAGCCACATGACCACAAATGCCATACACCAGATTGTCAAATCTGGAAACTGGTCTATAAAAAAGAAGAAGATTGGATTGTGGATATTCATCCTCGGATTGCCAGATTGTTAAGATTCGTGATTGGATTGATTAGGGATTTGTGGTTGTCAGAGGGTGCCTTTCGGCATCATCGCCCCATTCTCCGTCTCAACAGCCGCCCCTCTTACCCCGCTACCTTTGTGCACAGGTGTATGCGAACCAGCATGATGCCGCTCTGCTGCGATCCAAGAATGGCGTTCCAAGCGATGCCATTGTGGAGCTTGAGGTATCGTGGGACTAGGTATGGTCGGGCGGTGTGGCGGTGTTGCATGGTGCGGTGCGGGTGTGGTGTACACAGCCTAGCACGCAATCCCCCGGCATGGCATGAGAAAGAATTTGTAGCATTTGGGCTGGCAGCCTCGTGCATATGGTGTGCCGTTCCCCATGGTGGTGTGGCATGAGCTTGGGGAAGGTTGGTTGGGGCATGGCATGGCATGGCATGGCATGGCATGGCATGGCATGGTATCGCGTGGATTGAGCTGCCATGAGCACTTTCAAGGGACGACATGAATCTGCACTTCTCTTCTCATGTTTCTCATGCCATAACAGGATGAGTGCCTAACACAGTTGGGAGGAGTGAGCCTGAGGTTCATCCACACAACCACACACAACTCCGCCCACCCCCTCCCTTCCTCCCCCTCCCCCCCCCGCCCCCAACCTCTCCCCCCACACGCACATGCACCCTGTTCGTCCTCTTTCCCCGGCTTACTCCGGTGGCAGGATGGAGCGTCCATAGAGGTGGGGGAGGTGTCGCTGAGGTTCATCCACACACCCGGTCACACGCCAGGCTCCCAGTGCATACACATCCAACGGTGGGGGGTGCACACAATATGCGTGCACTGCACATGGGTTCACACGAATGGAAATGCACAGGAGTCACGAATACAAGAGATTCAGCTCGTCACCAGTCAATCAGGCATGCGCACACGAGGCAGCCAGGCAGGCACTTCACCCGAGCCAACAGCATGCACGCACTCTGCTGGGAGCCCTGTCCTGCCCTTACTCTTAGCCACGCTTTGCCAACCTCATGTTGTGCTGTCACTCGCCTCGCCAACCGTCTGTCTGATCAACATTCTCCATGTTCTTTTCACCAAAGGCGCCCTCGGTATCCGCCCCCCGTGCTGTGTGCGTGCAGAGCGCCAGGCCACGATGACGGGGTGCTGATATCCGGCGACACGCTCTTCATTGGCAGGTGCGCCCGCACCCGTGTCCACTGCAAGCCATGTCTATCCCTTGCCACGATGCATCCGCAGTGTGCCTACTGTAACCAAGCCTTGTCCTTCCGCCATCACTGGTATGTGACCTCATGCCGCACTCTCCTCCCTCCTCACTTCACACCGCGCACTCTTCCCCCTCCAGCCTCTCATGCTCGTCTGTAGCTGCGGGCATTGGACCTGCCTGCCTGCACCTACTCACTCTCATCATCTCTTCCCCTCACTGTCTCCGCCACTTCTCTCCACCCCTTTTCCTCCACTTTATCACCACTTCTCCCCCCACCCGCCCCCCTCAGCTGCGGGCGTCTGGACCTGCCGGACTGCAGCCGCGAGGCCATGTACGACAGCCTGCAGAAGCTCGCCGTGCTGCCGCCCGACACCAGGTGAGACGAGTGCTGCCACTGGACAACACCAGGTGGGAGGAGGGAAGGAGGAGGGGGGCAGCAAGGTTGAAACCATGTTTTAAGAACCTGCGGCACAGCCTAGAAGTACGCAAGACGGGCCAGGCGCGCATGCCAGTTGCAGCACATGCCACTTATTGCTCTCCTCCCAATGCTGGGCCCATGACCACCTGTCTCCTGTCGCCATGCAGAACACTGCCCACATGGTGTCCAAAAGCCTCTTGTCCTCCTCTCTCCCCCTCCCCTGCCTCCCCCAGGGTGTATCCGGGGCATGACTACGGGGGTGCGTTCACGAGCATCGGCAAGGAGAAGGCGTCTGGCTTCCTGCGCCCCATGTCCAAGGAGCAGTGGCTGGCCACGGGGGGAAAGCGATGATGGACCACACAGTAAGGGGGGGCTCATGAGTTACGACTGGTGACAGTTTGGGCAAAAAGGTTTCGAGGATGCAGCAGCCGCGCACCCGGCCAGTTCACGCCGCGGTCCGCGCACGGCGAGTTATGTTATTCCTGTAGGTGGGACTCGCCATTTTAAGCCTGCAAAAGACACGAGTGCGGATGAGCGTGTCTGCTGCAGAAACCCCAAACCCTGAGTGCTGCAGGGAGGCAGGTGGCTGGAGCAGGGTCTGAGGCGGGGGCTCTTGCACCAGGTGGTGCTGCGTCAGGTGGCACGCAGGGAGCACCTGTTTAGGGCTTACATGGAGCTGCCTGCGGTGATGTGAAGCCGTGATGTGAAGGGGGGAAGGCGGGCAGCCGAGATGCATGGTGGGCCACTGGCAACACCGCAAGGGACATGACACTGCATACCATTGACAGCTGCTGCTCATGGTGGGCAAAATGAACTAAAAGATCTGGATGCAGTCCTTGGTCCTCAGTTTTGTTCTTGGCAAATGAGGGCCCTTATTGTCCACCTTTCAATAGCCCGTAGCTTTCACTGTACTTATCAATTACACAAGAAATCTACCACCTATTGGAGGAAATCTACCTAATCTACACAAGAAAGGTACGGTACTTGCCATCCGGACCTGGGCCTCTGTCCACGGGCTGAAGTGGCACACCAGAGGTCCAGTCGGAAGAGAACCGTTTGCTTCCAACTGGTGAGATTTCAGTCAAATGAAACCTCGCCTTGTTGCAGGCGAGTAAGAAGCGAGTCAATCTCCCCAAAGACCTCGTCCTTGGACCGATGCCCGTTCACCTGTTGGCCACACATGGCAACGGAGTGCGGCAAGCAGTAGGCACGCGCAGGTGAACGGGCAGGAGGGAGGACTGGAATAAGGAGAGCTTGGTCACAGGGAGAAGGGCAAACATGGAGCTGTGGAGTGGGATGGGTTGGCAGAGGGTGAGACGGCACGCGCATTTTTGAACACTTGTCTCTTTCACCATCACCATCCCGCCGTGGCATCCTTCCACCACCATGCAACGATCAACCCATCCACAAATTCACTGCCAATCCACACGCACGCACGCACCCACCTGCACGAGCTTGCTAGCATAGATATCCAGCACACTCGCCACGTTGGCGTTGTGCGTCTCCAGCCGCGCCTTCACCTACCAATGGGAGCCCGCCAGCAAGGCACGCGGCAGCAAGGGAAGAAAGAACGAGCCAAGCATGTAGACTTGAGAAAGGCAACATGCGTGGGAATAGGGATGCGATAGGGCACCAGGGAGAAACACGTGCCGGAGATGGAGGGGGACAGTGGGCACTGGGCAGTGCAGACCCGCACACATTTGTGTGCAGCAGGGCGCCGCCCGCCCTTACCTTCTCCTCGGTGTCGTCACTGCGCTGTGTGAGGCGCGCCGCGATCTCGTCGGTCTCGGGTGGCGCGAAGGCGAGGTGGTAGATGCGGTTGGTGGCGGGGTCCAGGCGCCGCCCCACCACGCGCTCCACCAAGATGTCTTGGGGCACCTGCATGGTGCGATACAGGGGAGGGGGGAGGAGGGAGGAGGGAGGGAGGAGGGAGAGGGGAGGAGGGAGGGGGGAGGAGGGAGGAGGGAGGAGGGAGGAGGGAGGAGGGAGGAGGGAGGAGGGAGGAGGGAGGATTCACAAGTGCGTCTCAAGGGCCTGCTGGCAGGAAACCCAACAATGCCCGCATTAAGGAACCCTAGGTCCAAGCGCACAGCTGGCCCAGCAAACACGCATACACACGCTCACCCAGCCCATGCAAGCCACATGCAGGCCGCATGCGGGCCACATGCAGGCCGCATGCGGGCCACATGCAGGCCGCATGCGGGCCACATGCAGGCCGCATGCAAGCCACATGCAGGCCACATGCAAGCCACATGCAGGCCACATGCAAGCCACATGCAGGCCGCATGCAAGCCACATGCAGGCCGCATGCAAGCCACATGCAGGCCACATGCAGGCCACATGCGGGCCACATGTGGCCATGCCCCATGCCCCATGCCCCATGCCCCATGCCCCATGCCCCATGCCCCATGCCCCATGCCCCATGCCCCATGCCCCATGCCCCATGCCCCATGCCCCATGCCCCATGCCCCATGCCCCATGCCCCATGCCCCATGTCCCATGCCCCATGTCCTGTGCCCCATGCCCCCATGCCCCCATGCCCCATGCACGCAGGCCTCACATCGAGCAGGATGAAGACGTCCGGGGTGATGTCGAGCGCCAGCAGCGCGTGTGCCTGCGACAGGCTGCGAGGGTACCCGTCCAGCAGCCACCCCTTGCTCTGCGCGTCCGGCTGGGCCAACCGGTTCTTCACTATCTGCCCACACGCACGCACGCACAGCAACACAAGCTCATAACGTGCACACGAGGGAAACTTCTGAAGTCTTATAACGAGCATGGACAAAATAGCCCCAAGGATAGCCGCCTGGAAGCCATCTCATCTGTACAGCCTGCTAGGCCAACCCGTCTGTGCTTGCTCACAATCGGCGCAAGTACAAGAAGACGAAATCACACGTACAAGAAGGCTCAAGCTGTAAAGACGGTGCCTGTTCCTCGTTCAGAAAATCCCTCCTGCTCTTGGCACTAGCCTTAAGTGCCCACACAAGGCCAATAGCTAGCGAGGACAGGAAGAGATGTGAGACGGGGTAGGGAGAGGGAGAGACAGACGGACGGACACAGCAGCAACCCAGCGCAAGATGTACGAGTGGAGAAGTGGGAGATACGCGAGGAGGAGCAGGAATGAGGGGCAGGCACAGGGGTGGCAGATGCGCTAGTGCACGTCACGCACCGTGACCACCACCTCGTCCGGCACGAGCCTCCCCGCGTCCATGTGCGCCTTGGCCTGCCGCCCGCCCTCCGTGCCCGCTGCCACCTCGGCGCGCAGCAGGTCGCCCGCACTGATGTGCGTCAGCCCGTACTGCCATGGAGGGAAAAGGGGGGGTTAAAGGGGGTTGGAGGGGGGGGGGGGGGGGGGGAGGGGAGAACAGGTACAGGGGATGTAAGGCGAGATGGAGGGAGCAGGGAGGGTAGGGCATCGCAGCAGGTCGCCCGCTCTGATGTGCGCCACGCCGCCCTGCACTGCACGCAGAAGAGAGGAGGGGGGGAGGAGGGGGGTAGTAACAGGAGCGGAGGAGATGGAGGGAAGAGTGAGGGGAGGGAAGCAGTAATAACAGAGAGAGTCGGCCCACAGTGCGCACCAACGACAGCAAGGCGAGGGAGAAGGGGAGAGGAGAGGAGGGTCGAGGAAGGAAGGAGGTCAGGGAAGGTTGAATCAAGTGGAGGGAGGGGGACCGCTGCTGCGAGTCAGCCCATGGTGCGCCTGCACTGAGTGGCATATAGGGCGCTCTGAGTTGAACTGGCCTATGAGAAATCTCAAAAACCAATTCAGCCCATGGTGCGCTTGTGTTAAGGGAGAAAAGAGGCTTTCTGGATGAACATCTCATCAGCTCCTGTTACCTACCCTCCTCTACATTCGGTAGAGGGAATTGTGTGTACCAAATGTATCATCATCCCGCTCTACTTTCTCGCAAAATGTTGCTTTCTGAAGTCCTACGTTTTCCCCGAGGCCTTTCTCCCTCATCCCCCCATCGTTACCCTTCTCCCCCTCCTTCCCTCTCCCACCTTCTCCACAATAGGCTCGCACTGCGTGCCCTTGCCCAACCTTCCCTTTCCCCCCACCCCCCACCCCCCACCTCCCATCCCCCGTCCCCCATCCCCCATCCCCCACCCCACTCCCGCCTGCCCCCCGCGCGCACCTTCTGAACGATCAGCTCGCACTGCGTGCCCTTGCCCGAGGCGGGCGCCCCCGAGATCATCACTCGCAGCGGCCGCAGCGCCGCCGCCGCAGGGGCCGCCTGCTCCGACGCGGTTGACACCGTTGCGCGCGGCTGGTGGCGCATGGGGTCGCGGGCACGTGGGGAAAGGGGGGAACAGGAGAGGGGGTGAGGGACTGTTGAGACGACTTTAGAGTCGACTCAAAAGTCGGTCACCTCGGAGAGGGTGAGGGAATGGAAGCGGCAAGAGAAGCGGTGTGACATGCGGAGAGGCGAAGCGGCAAGGAGCAATGCGGCACTTGCGAAAACTCTCAAAGTGGGGTTCTAAGTTGTTACACCTCGCGTTCGTCAGTTTGTGCCTTTTGAGTCGACTCAAAAGTCCCCTCAATGTGGGGTTCTAAGTTCTTACACCTCGCGTTAGCTTGTGCTCCCATAGCGCAATTACTCGCGTCAGCTCGGGCCGTTAGGTGCGATTCTAATCTCTCGCGCAAAGCTAATCAGGCCAAGTGCTCGGAGCCGCAACGGCAACGGCAACGGTAACGGTGCTCAGCACCATCCTCGCAACGACAATGCCGTCGCACTCGCACGCGCAATTGCCGGAAAGCGCACTTTAACTCGACGTGATACTACGATGTACAGCCGTCGACCAGTATGCATTTATCGAGGCGAACAACTGGAGGATGCCTTTCGTCGCATGGAGTGTAGCGAACCTTGTGCGACCGCGACCGGCGAGCTGGTCTTCTAGCAGCAGCCACGCGCTCGTCCCCCGCCGTCGACACCATCCGCAGCCCGCTGTGCCGCCGCCATGCCGCGCTAGATGCGGCGGGAATCGCGGAAGCGCGCTCGACGCTTTCGTTTTGTGAGTGGCAGAGGCTCGCTGAAAGCGAAGCCGCGGCGGATGTCTGTCTGACGGCGAGCGACATGCTGACGTGGACTGCCGTGAGTTCGTGACGATAGCAGCGAAAGCCCCGCGATTAATATTTCACGGACCACCTACGAGGCGATGAGCGGCTGGTTGAGTGGCTGGCGGGTGCAGTAGAAAGCAACTCAACGACGGAAAGGAAAGGAAGTGACGACGAGTGGAGGTGTTCGCTTGCTGCTGCTTGAATTGACATGGGAAAAAGCACCGAGGGCAACACAGCATCAGGGCGGGTACAAAAAGTTCGTTAATATCACCCAACCATTCTAGGTTACCATTCGAACGCTGTGAAACGCAACGAAAGCTACTCCACCGTAATCACACGTACTATTTGGACCTGCCCTCAGTGGACGACTCCCAAGAATCATTCGATTCCGAACGACAGGCGCGACAAGTCGATTGAACCAGCCGTGGGAGGAGAGGACGAGGGAGTTTCGTTCGAAAATGGATAACGGCCGCGTGGACAGAGAAATGTGAGCTACGTGCTGACGTGGAGTGGGGCCTGCTGGGCCGTAGGATTTGGAGGTGTGCGATGGGACCACACGGCTCTACGCCGCACGTCATTGCACCTGCTGCGGCGTCAGGGTGGATGGACCCAGGGCTTATGTTATCAGGGCATTTGCCCTGACTTGACTGAAATTATAGAGTTTTTAATGCAAAACCTGATTTTATTAGGAATTTCTTTCATCAAGCCCTAAAACAATCCGGGGAAAGTTTCAGGAAGCTCTTGAAAATCCGGAAGGTTTCTGAGTCACCCGGATATTCTCCCCTACCTGCATCGATCCCCCCCGTCCTCACTTCCCCCCATCCATCGAAAATACAAGTTTCCCTATCTCCGAACACCCCTCACTCGTCCCAGCACACAAATACCAGGCTGAGGAGTTCCTCCCCCAAATCCCCCTTGAACAAACGCGAATCTTGTGCTGTAGAAATCAGCACCATCCGAGCATTTCTTTAGCGGACCCTGAAAAATTAAGGTACTACAGCTTCGGACCTTGGGTTTTCAGGGTGAAAATTCAGGGAAGCTCTGAGCGTCAGAGTTGGTTAAAAACCTAGCACAGGCCCTGGATGGACCCCTGCGGCACTTGTGGCTGTCATTTCGAAATGGAATCGTCACTGGCAGCTCCCCCGAAATGCCCCACACAAGAGCACGCCTCGTTTAAGAGTACACAGATTGTTCAACGTGTAGTGGTGTTGCTAAGGAGAAACAATCTTGTTGTCTACAAATGCAAAGAATCACATTAATCCAACCCTGGCTCAAAACCTTGGCTCTCGTTCCCCTCGACACAGGCCATCTGACAAAAACTACCTCCTTATTAAGCGCACCACGACTCGTGCTTGACCTGATTATGCAAGCAAAATGGCAGCCTCGCACTTTTTAATGCATGTGGCTTACCCCACGCAGTAGTAGGGGATTATGCAGCAGCAGGCCTTGCAATATCGGCCTCTCACTCTCATCCTCCACACCCACTTCAGAGTCGTCTTCCACAACCCTATGCGTGTCGTCGGTCACTTTAAACACCTCTAGGAAATCTCTCTCGATGTCGTGCAAAGCGCAGCACAGCACAAGCCAGTGCAAGGGCGCTCCAAAGTCCACGCTGTCAAATTATATATTTATGTACATATATATATATATGTTTAGGCTTGGTAGATATGCTATACTACTAGATCCTATTGTAGAGGGTACAGCTCCCTCCTTGTATCCCCCCCTCATCTAGTCTTGCCCTCTTTTCACTCGACATTTTCTCCTAGCACCTAAAACATCTTGACCTTTCATGGCTTCCTAGCTATCTCCTCTTCCTCCTTTTGACACACGTCGCTCAGCTGCTCCATGCTTCCAAACACCAGGCGCTGCGAGTCAGCACCGAGCCGTGCCGCCCCAATACACATGGAGTCGGCAGTGTAGGCTGAGGGGGCAGCGGTATTGGGAAAAGGAAGCAGATTGGGTGAGGGAGCAGCGGGAGGGGGGAGGGGAAGGGGAAGGGCTTGAGAAAAAGGAAAAGTGGGTGCTGATACTGATGCTGATGCTGATGCTCGTGCTAATGCTGATGCTGATGCTGATGCTGACAGAGCACGAGTGAGAGCATGTGGCCTCTTCGAATGCGGCTGGGCTCACAGCCAGCCCAGAAGATTCCGCACGGCACCATGTGCGGCAGGCGGTGGACAATGCTCACGTTTCTGCTGCCGCCTCTCCTCCACCAGCAGCAGCTGCCTGATGGCCGTGTTCAGTGTCATGTAGCGGGACGGCTCGTACCGGATCTTGCCCCTGCACGTAACAAGAATGCATGGGGAGGGACGAGATGAGGCTTTGAGGTTTGGCAAAGAGGGCAGCAGGGATGCACTGGGGAGGCGAAAGGCAATAGAGTTGCAAGGAGGGAAAACGAATTCTTATGGAAAAAGGAGCAGCAACAAAAGTGACAGCCCAGTGCACACAAATACACGCCAGATAGTTATGAGACGACGTGCGAGATTTATGAGAATTCTAAAAAATATCTCCCGGGGACTCACCTAAGAGAGCATTAACTTCTCCAGGCGAATCCCAGATGACACGACACGAGGCTTGATGCACTGGTGGACCGGATTGAGCACCTCCATTTCACGACTGGAGTGCCAACCAAGCCAATCCACAGCCATTGTAGTGCCGTTCTCAGGAGGCCACGTCTTGCCTCAGGTTCATTTTTCACCTGCCCAAGCCTCACTTACCTGCCCAAGTCTCACTCGCCAGCCCAAGTATCACCTGCCCATGTCCAAGGCACAATAGTTCCACTCACCTGGCCATGGCCTTGAGGGATGGATCCTTCACCTCGATGTCTAGATGGCAGGAGCAATGGGGTGGGGAAACACGGGATGAACAAGGAGGGCACACGGCAAGATGATGCACTGAACAAGGAGGGCACAAGGCAAGATGATGCGCTGAACATTCGGGAGAGGAGAAACGGCACGAGGAGGAATGGGGGGAGGAGGCATGGGGCGACGAGGCATGGGGCGACGAGGCATGGGGCGACGAGGCATGGGGCGACGAGGCATGGGGCGAGGAGGCATGGGGCTAGGAGGCATGGGGCGAGGAGGCATGGGTTGAGGAGGCATGGGTTGACGAGGCATAGGGCGAGGAGGCATGGGGTTAGGAGGCATGGGGCGAGGAGGCATGGGTTGAGGAGGCATGGGGCGAGGAGGCATGGGGCGAGGAGGCATGGGGTGAGGAGGCATGCTAGAAGACAGATGTCACATTAGGAAAAGCACTCATGATGCACAAAAATGCCGTCATCGTACTTTTCTGGGTCAACTCTGACTAGAATAACAAGTGTTGGGATTTAAGGAGGGAGGACATGCAATCTTGCAGAAGAGATCAGTGTATTGTGTAATGACAAAATGGGCCACAAAAAAACAGGAAAGAGAAAAGGCGTACAAGAAAATGAAGAATGAATTCCGTATGAGACTTTCCTACAGAAGTATACGTTGTGTGGTACATGTGCAAGGAGTGTTATGGCTTACCATTGCCTTGTGCATGAGCACCTTCTTGACCCATCGGTTGTCCAGAGACACTAACTGCAAGCGGGCAAAGATGACCTTAAACAGATTCGCTTTCCAATCTCTATAGGAAAGAGAAAGGGGAAACACACAGTAAGGGATATGAAAGGGCCAAACATAACGAACAAACGAAGGAAGAGTGTGGCAACCCTTTAAAATATGTCCATACGTTCCCTTTTTTTGCTTCAACTTCTCAAATTGCACTGAAACAGTTGGCCCTAACATGACCAATCACCAACTGCTTGGATGTCCGAAAAGTGAGAGATGCGTTCAAACATGACAACAATGTTGACTCAATTCCTCAGCCATAACACTTCAGCATACCCAGAAACCGTGTTGCTTTCCAAAGACCATCTTGATCCCAGCTCCATCATCATCATCTTTCCCTACAGGTCCAAGTACACTCGGAAACAGAAATGCTATGTTCACCGCTTACACCTGCAGCCAAGTATACCTCATTGAAAGATCCACTCAAATACTCCACCTACCATATTGCCGATGTCCCATGGATTAGACATGAGCAAAGGCCGGGCCAGGCCAGCCCCATTGGGGCCAACCTTGGCGGGACACCAGCTTAAGCCCGAGATTTAGGGAGTTGGTCCAACCTTCTGCATAATCCGGCCTGCCCTTTGGCCCATGCACGACAGTCCGGGTCGGGCCGACCTGCTCATGTGTAGCCCAAGTTTACCTATCTCTACTAGTAAGTTGCACTGCGTGAAGTAAACTATGCAATAGTTATAATAAATCGGAGGGAGGAGGGGAAAATACCTGATAGACTGCAAGCAAAACTTGACTGTTACGAGGAGAGGCACACACCCGTAAGTGCAACAAATTAAGCAGGGCCTTTGGGTAATTGCAGAAGATCCATCTGAATCCTGCGAACACATAAGGAAGGAATGCCAAGCCAATACACTTCTGCAACACTGACCTTGTAAGGAAGGTGTAACCCAACCCAATATTAGGGCAAGCTTGCAGTTTATATCCAACAGTATAATCATTTTCGAAAGTGGAACATTGGGTGGCACAGTGCAATACAGGAGGTAATGCACCTACCTAAAACAACCAATACCACATCCTTATTGAGGGTCGGAATGATACACTTCAAGAACTAAATCTTCCTTTACTTGAGCATCTTGTTGTCTCCTTCCCCCCCTCACCCCTCAAGGGCTTGCACCTCACCATTGGCTATGAATGACACTTACACCACAGCCTCTGCCAACACGCCAAATCTTAGAATCCTTTGAGTGGCAGCTAGATCGGTCACTTCAGACTAATGCACAGGGGTCGAGCCCTCCATGTACTCCTTTCTCGCTTGCAGGAAGGAGAGCTTTATGAAGACTGGGTCATCCAATAACCGGTCCTCCATTGCAAAAATAAATCTGTTGCGCAACATTAGCCTCCGCTCTACCTGTTGCCCGTCTCTGCCCATCTCCGCTATCACATCTCCAACATACTGGCTCCCATCAACCTCCCTAAAATGATATGTAATGGAATGTGAAATTCATTTAGTTAAGTGTCAAAGTTTCACAAAACCACATATCTCTTGATCTTGGTTGGCCAGAGGGTTTTAACTTACCATATATAGGCATGAACATAGGCCCAGCCCAGCCCGTTTCTAGTTAGCTCGTCCGGG